ACCCCCCCCTCCCCCCCCCCCAAAAAAAAAAACCCACACCCTTAGCAGACATCAACGTTTCTATGCAGAGTAAAAGTGAAGTTACATGACTAAAATTGTATAGTATTTCAACTTAAAACATTTTGGCCGAATGTTGTGTAGTGAATATGTATAATTAATATATCAACTGTGATACTTTTATTACTATGAATTGTTGTTCACTTTTGTAGGAATGTATCCAGGGGGTTCCCCCCCCCCCCCACTATTTGTACAGTGTTAGTATTTTAAAGCTTGTTCTTGCCATTACAAAGTCTTTCCTTAGATTGGATCACTCAAAATGAATACTTCACATGTAGACCTAATATGTAAAAATAGTGTCTGTTCATCTAGAAGTATATTACCCCACCTATGCCCTTTGTTTGAAAAATAATTACCACAAAATTCATAATTAAAGTACTACAGTATATGAAATTTAATAATCAAAGGTTGCAAATATGACACTAATATTTTGGGGTATTTTTTTATTTTTTAAGATTTTGAGTAATTCTGGTTTAGGCAACACAAACTAAGTGAATCACTTAAAAATACACATTATTTCACCTTAATAAATGCATCAATATCGCCAACTGCTGGTATGTAGTCGGGAATGAAGGGCTTCATCTTATGGTCCAGCTCAATAGACTGTGGAGTGTACCTTGTGATATACTGAAACAGGTCCTTGATTTCCTCACTCACTGGTAGATTTTCATACTCTGCTGGGTCATATGCACTAAAACACAACACATACTAGGCATTAACTTACATTCTGCTGCCTCTTATTGGAATTCTTCAGATAAACATAAACATATAACTGGATTACCGTTAGGTAGATTTGAATGCTTAAGCATTCATTACAAGGTTATCATTTCCTCCTAATCTACTTTTTCAACCCTGTACTTAAAAAATTGAAGTTTTTAAGTGTAACTTAGGTTACTGTTTAGGTTAACTGCTTTGAGCTAAATTTTTTTTTAAGTTACCCTTCTAATGCCACGTGATGGTCATCATCATCATCATCTGAAGAATCAGATCCTGAATCATCGTCGTCGTCGTCATCATCATCGTCGTCGTCATCGTCATCATCTTCAGATACTTGACGTTGCTTTGGTGGGATCTGTTGCCTTGGTTTGTTGAGTGGCTATCAGAGAGAATTAAACAATTGTCAAAGAAGGGATTTGTAGAAATTGTTTTATGTAGAAGTATGACACATTGACAAAGTATCCATTTAGTTAACAAAAAATATTTCTGAAATATAAATTATGTATTAGAGTTTTTGTATGATAATCTGACACTGACAAACATGTACCTAGAGAAATAGTAGCTTTTACATTTATTGATTAGGTAGTAGCTATTTAGCTGGTAGAATGGACAATTCATTTACACAACAGTTTTGTGCACACTCTAACCCTACCCATTACACAATACTGTATAAAAGGCAAATTTGTGTTAGTCATTTTCAAAATAAGATACTGTAATAATTCAAACATGTAAATATGAAATACTTTATAAAATACATAAAAAATTGGATAAAATACACAATATCTTATTATTATTTTGAGCCCCAATGAAGTTATTCTCACATTTTCAATATTATAATTAATAATGATAATATTGGAAATATCATAATTATTAATTATAATTTATAATGCTAATACCTGTATTAATTATTATTATTATTATTATTATTATTATTATTATAATTCCAGTACGTGCATACCTTGTTCTCCATCTGCCCTTCTTCAAAATCATCATCACTGTTGTCAGTCATGTTGTCGTGACCTCTCAAGCTGTTCCCGCTACCAGCTGCATTTTGAGAGAATGTTAGTTATTATTTGGGTTTTTTACAAATAATGCTCTGGGAAATTCTTAACATATAACTGTAGAGCAATGACTATACTGTAATTATTCACTAAGATAACTTTTTGATTGTCCAGTATGACATGGAAAATTTCTTTTCTCTTTGACAAAATAAAGCACACAAACTTCTCATAACATAGGCCTAGCACTACGATATAAAAATACCTTGTAAATAAAATAATTAATTTATAAATTTCACATTAAATATATTATACTTTTATTACAATAATGCTTATTATAATATCCTGTACGATAGTGACATTTACCTGGGAAGCCTGCAGGAACTCTTGGACTAGGGGTATAATTTGAAGCTACTTCTTCTGCGTCCGGCACTTCAAGAGATTCGTCATACGGTTGATTAGTTACAATCTTTGTCTAGTAGCAATAAAAATCAGAAAATAAGTCTTGAAAATCTGAAGTCTACAATTTGCAGAATTACCATTTTATTATTTAATATAATCTTAAAGATGAACAATCACTTAAATTATTATTGTAAAACTTGGTTTCCATACAATCACTACATGCTACCACTGACAGCTTCCAATCTTTGTCTAGTAGCAATAAAAATCAGAAAATAAGTCTTGAAAATCTTAAGTCTACAATTTGCAGAATTACCATTTTATTATTTAATATAATCTTAAAGATGAACAATCACTTAAATTATTATTGTAAAACTTGGTTTCCATACCATCACTACATGCTACCCCTGACAGCTTCCAGGCCTTGCGGGGAATATATCCTCCATGCAAAATTTGGCCTATACACTCGTCGACGCATTTCGGAAAATAAGGGCCGATTTTTGCGCAGATTTTGGCGAAAATTAGGCTTTGAACTAATCTTATGTATAAACAATGTATTATGCATTAATTTACCTACCGATATCCCGCGCAAATTTGACCTGGTTTTTGAGATAACATCCGTACAATTAAAAAACTTTACAGTCCGATTATGGGACAGCTTTTGGTGATGCTGATTGGTCGAGTGAATTGGGGAGCCTTCGGTGCAATTGCACCGAAAACACTGTATTGACAGTGTAGCGATTTAAAGAAAATCAGGCTTAACTACAATAACAGTAGGTCTCCATAAGTTCCTGGACCTAGGGCTCTACTGTTGTAGTTCTTGTATTTATTCTTCTGTTCTTTCTTTTTTATTATTTCAACATGTAGAGTAGGCTAAGGCAAGGCTTTGAGCTTCTAACTGAATGGTCGTATTTTTGAAACCAAATGGTTGTTGATGTCCGTGGTTTGAAGAACACACGTTTTTTGTTCTGTTTGCCTAGAGAGAGTAGCCTAGGCTAATTACTAGTAGTCTAGTAGTATTAAGTAGTAGGCTAGGCCTACTTGACCTCAATTGTGTCTATGTGACCAGTCACAGATCTCCCAGCAGTAGGCCAGCCTTGCCCTTGACAACAGGCGTAGTTTCGCCTTCAAACGTAACTCTTTGTTACATGTACCTGAGAAAAGGTACCCCTGCTCAGCTGCTGGGTGGGCCTCGCTCTCAGACTCTGACTGGCGTTCTACTAAGACTATCCTAGCAACCACCTTTTATGCTCGTTTTCAACACATTAACGCATAACATTCTATTTCGTTTACACCCTAATAATAACCCAACTATAATATGCAAATAAATATGTACGTATTATGTACATATTGTTTAAAATAATGAAATAAAAGAGAATTACTCCTCCGTTTTCGTCTTCAGAATCATCCGCCATTTGCCCACAGAAAGTGGTATGTGGTGGTTTGTTTGTTTATTTTTAATTTGCTCTAACGAACATTGGGGGAAGCAAACTAGTATGAGACCATCGATCGTTTTCTAGATATCAATACAGTACAACAAATAGGCCTAGGTAGGCCTAGAACCAGCATTTAATATCTCAGTTCTGAAGATGAAAAGATAGAGTAGAAGTTTCTGTACTTAGTAAATCCAATTTGGAATGGCCCAGAAGGCTCAACGGCCAATTCTCCCGAATCAGAGGACTCTTTTGGAGCTTGTTGAAGGTAAAGAAACACCTGCTGGTAATCACGAAAACCGGCCAACTTCACTACCTTGCACTGCCTCGTCAATTGCTATCGGCAGCCGCCAAGCTGATGAATCGCCAGCTGCAGCAGTAGAATCTGGTCGGCCTCCTGGTTTGGCCACATCACCACCATCATTGGGTTCTGTCAATATGGAGAAAGTTGAAGGAATGCAGCCTAAAGAATTTGATCATTATCCATCAATTAGGAGAAACGCTAGTGCGCCAATTAACCTCTCCTCTACAACTGGTGCTACAAACGCAGAATTAACTAGGCCTAGGCCTCCTCCTAGTCTAACAAGGTAGGCTTTATTTATGGAATATTTTGTTTTATTAATGTTTTAAACTTGATTGATTTGAGTGAGATGCATTGCCATGGTTGAAATAGGATATCACCAGAGTATTTAAAACTTCTACAATTTCTAAGGAATTACTCTAAACACCAAAGGAATTAAAAACACAATCTGAGTAGATAGAGGCTTGCTTACTAAAATCTGTGCTAAATTAAATAAAAACTAGACTAGGCCTAACTTATTGACATGTTGTCAAATTCTGGTTACAGGTTTTGTCGACAGAGCACTAACTAAGACTTTATAGCACGAAGGGGTGAATTTTTGATGCACTTAACATTAAATATTTGAGAAAATAACGATTTAATTTACCCCTCTCTGCAAATCTTAACTCAAATAGACATGCTCATACACTGAACTTTTTTTATCAATGTTAGACTGGGCACCCTCATTTCTGATTAATAATTATGATTGTTTATTCTACCAAATGTTTATTATGTACAGTACAGTATTTAATCAAATAAGATTGTTTTAATTCTTCTTTTGAAGTTACTTTATGTTTTGGTGCCTGGCAATATATACATTGAAATAAATAAAGTAAAAAATGAAAAAAAAAATGGAGACCCTTGCAAATTTAGTCAATCAAACCGACTTGAGCAATGAAAAATAGAAACAATAAAAATACAGTAACCATTTATAGTTGATTAGGCCATGTCCTCACAACCTCATCTACAAGTAATAATAAAAGGAAGTATCTATATATTTACGTCCTCATAAACAAATCAGGAAACGATATATTTACGTGAAATAGATATACTAAAATGTCTCCTATACCATTCAACTAAAATCATTTGTGGGTAGGGGAGAGGGGAAATCCACTGGTGATGGCCTGAACTATTGTAGCCATATGGATAACTTACAGGTGTTTTACACTTGAACTTTATAACATAGAGTATTATGGTATGAGTATTTTGTTATGCTTGACAAACTTTGGGATAAAGACCTTAATTTTTTGGGAAAGCTAAACAGTCAACAGTGGGACTCCTATTTTTAACCATAGTTCACTACTTGCATGCTTCTAAACTGGTCCCTCACCATTGTAATTTTACTGTTTTGTTGTTATGGTGAAATAGATGTTACATTGATTGAATGATTGATTGACAACAAGTACCGTATTTAAAATAAGAAAATCGACAGGAATCATATTAAGTGCAGTAGAAACCAAATTGTAAAGCCATGCAGTTGAAATTTTAACAATCATCATCATTTTGCTGTGATTCGTTTGAACTGGTAAGCATCCTGTTGGACTGATTTAATCTGAAAGACATTGGAATTTAACGTGATCATATAATAAGTCACTTTATGGCCTTTGAAAATTATAGTATGCAATAAGATACCTGCAAGCTATAGTCGTTTGGATATTAAGGACAGCGATCATGCTTTCATTTCTCTTTATTGTCAGGTGAGGTATTGTGCTGGTTGGAAACCCAACATTACGTTTATTGGCTATTAGAAAAATCCATTGAAATGCTACTGTACTAATGAAGAATCCATAACAATTTGGTCAATATCAAAATTTTATAGCTGCTCTTGTGTCACATATTAATAATATGTTAATTACATTTGAAAAAGTGTATTGTCCTAATAATAAAGATCCTTAAAATCACATTACAATGTACTGTACTAACTGTGTGTGTTTTGTCATAATATAGGTGGCGCTCTTTTATTTCATTTCATTCATTTAATTTCATTTAGTTTTATTGTCCAATTTTAAAAAGAAAAAGCAGAGCGGAAACAATTCATTGCATATTTAAAAATTTATATAAAAAATTGTACGCACAGTAATAATAATACTAATAATAATAATTTTATATCTCTTTAGTCCCTGTGGTCCCAAGAAGACCATTTGATCATCATTTAGTTGATCTACCTACATTGCTGAAGCATAGCTTGCATTAATTTTGGAAATTGTTACAGTTTGTTGTGTATACAGTAATTAGGAAAATTCTTCATTCAGCTGAATTAATTAATTTGATGTAAAGTCAGTCTTTAGTGCATATAACGTATGTTTAGCAACTTTGTACAGTATTCATTTTTTAAAGATAGTAGCAATTTAAAGTTAATAGCAGAAAGATAAAATGCAAGACTAAAACAAATTTGCTTTAAAAAATAAATAAAACCTTCAGTATGTCTATATTAATTTTAAAGACTTAAATTCAGAATTATATTTTTGATACATTTTCTCACAAAAAAAATATATTAGTGTACAGTATTTATCTTCTTGAAAATGTACAGCGTAAATATATAAATAATCACTGGTAAGTTATTTGAAATTGAAGAAAAAAACATGGGTATGGGTCTGTCTAAAATTAAGTATGATTTATGGTTACTGTATGAGTTGGCCAAGTACGATTTAGCTTGTAATCAAAGTTCTTGGGAGTTTAAATTTACAATATTTTGTAGTCTGCTGCCCTCTGTTGCTGAAAGACAATTATTTACCACGTCCACATCAGTTGAAGTGTTTATGTTTGATCCAATACAAAACCCTTTTTCCATTATACTTGTAGTTGTTTTAAAAGGCCAAAAAAAAAAACAAAAAAAAAAACTTGTTTTGTGTCATATCTCAAAAACAAATCAGGGGTTGGGGGAGTTCTTTTGTTTAAGCCACAAATAATTGTGTGTGTGTGTGTGTGCCGATAAATTTTTTCACCGTTTGAACTAAAAACATTCTGTTACAGAGTCAGGAACTTCTAAATAACATGAGGTCGAGAATTCGGCCCCACAGCTAAATCACGTTCTTGTTGGTTACGCACCACTGACTTTGGGCCATCACTTTTAAACACGTACAGTATACTTATTCGCATTTTTAAATAAACTTGTTGTTTGACTTTCCCCACAGTCTTTTTATTACTTTTAAGTCAATATACATAATTCATCATATTATAATTATCAGTATTAGAATATTTATTAGGTCTCATTCAGTGAATAGAATTGACTGAAATCATACAATACAAAATGTGCTCAATACATTGAGGTCGAACTTGTTTGTCACCGCCGAAACTGTCCAACACCAACTACCGAGCACATTTTCCTGTACTTCGTCACATCTAGGCGGTAGTAGTATTAGTAGGCATCCTAGGCCTAGATTTGCCAAGCAATACTTTTTGCTTAATAGCAGTTCCATCCAGGAAAACGCTCTTCCCATACCAATCTCTTAATTGATTTTTGTAGACCTTTCTTTACGCTTTAATGTAGCAAAAAGGGCATTTTTGCTTATTTTAAAACATCTCTGTCAATCGACCACATGCATGTTTACGGTAAAAAGTTAATATTGGCGGTGCTTTTTATGGTAAAATAAATACGAAAAACGATTATTTTTAGTCATTTTTTCGGCATTTCCTGGCCAATATAAGATGTTTTTGGGACATATAACAAATTTAAAAAAAATCATAGGCAGGCCAAAAATGTGAACTTAAACATGTATGTTTTTTTATGTGGCCATAGTACTATATTTATTCAAATATATCCCAAGGCATTTATTAATATTATTTAGGAGGGTATTAAAGGGCCCATAGTTTATTCAAGAAAGCATTTTTATAGTTTTGGTTGGTGTAAAATTGATGGATACTTAACAAATAATTTGATCTAAAGTAAAGCATTGGTAATGAGGAATGGTCTTGAGAATGGTGTTGCTTCCTTCAGTTACTGTCATTTGGAGGGTGTTTTAATTTGGAAAGGTGTTTATTCTAAAATAATATTTTTGAGGGGTGTTTCTTCATTGGTTGCAGGGTTTTGTTACATTATTTGCACAATTCAAATGAGCTTGACCTATGAACCGATGAATCTTATTTAATTTTTTTTTTTTTTAAGTTGATTACCACAGCAGATTTAAGGTTCTATAATGATGTAGTGGTAGATGGAGCTGTGTTAGTCTGGTAGACATTGGAAATAAAAACATTGGTAGCACTTTGACTATGGTAACTTCATTTAATATTTTAATATTACACAAGCCTTCGCCAGCAGTCTATGCTGGCTTCATCAGGTGTAGTGATTAGGTGCATAAGAATAATGATGTAGAGTTTGTGTATTGCTTTGCTATTACATTATTCAACATAATTACAGTACCTGTATTACAGAGAGAATGATGCAGTCCTTACTTTCAACCATGAAAGTGGTATTAATGGTTTAACAATGGAAATGGTATTAAGGATCTTTGTTGCTGTAAATAAAGAACCTGAAGTCTGATTGGGTAGTTGTTGTATGACATCATCCATTGATGGAAATTTGGATTAGATTTTAGTGGTTGGAATGACTTGCAAAAGCAATGTTCCATTTGCTAATGGTTGCCACTGGATACAGCATACAAGATTTCATCTACACTACCAGTTACTCTATTCTCAGTTTCATACCAATCAAAATCCAGCTATTATATTTATTGTCTATTAAAGGCAACATACATTTTATGCAAGAAAATTTTATAAGACAACATTGTCAAGCTGTGGTGGAGTATGTGTGTATTAGTATTATATGTGCACCGTATACAGTAATAGTGTGCCTTAATTGTTGTTGTTCACTCATCCAGTGGATTTTGCAGTGCATCAACTGTTTCTTGGAAACCAGGTTTGAGACTTGTGACAGTGAATAATCTTTCTTTTGTTTTATCATCCATTCATTCTGTCATTCATTCTTTCTTCATCAGTTCTTTATTCTTTTATTCATTTACTCATTTAGTATTTATTTTTATTCATTCATTTAATCATTCATTTATTCATCCTTTAAGTAATTTTAAAAACATATAAGTTCAATATTTTTTGAGTCACAAATAAAGAGGATATCTTTAATATGACCCATTGTCATATGATAATATGACTTGTGAATTCTGGATTAACTACACATAAATCCTGTTTGCTCATCAGTTTCAAACGGAACAAATACATTCACCACCATTATATATTACACAGTACCAGTACCACTGTTAAAAACCACTGCGATAACATTTTGAAAAGTAACATCAAAACCTCAATTAAATAAAATGAATTGTTTAAATTTAAAATTAATAAATTACAGTAACTAATGAGAAACAGATCCAAACCATTCAGTTTTTGCTGGTTTTTGCAACAAATATAGAGGAATGTACTATGTGTGGTACAGTGTGATAAACCTTAAGAAATAGCATTGAATTGCTCATTTAAATGATAAAATTACATCAATTTCCAGTGAAACAGGGATTAGACCAATTTAATCTCTTTATTACGAAAATCCTTAAATTGGTTTCTTATTTAAAGGCAATAATGAATATAAGAAAAGATATTTTATTGTTAATTGAATTTTATCCTTTGACAATCAAAGATATCAAAGATACTTTCCTGATTCCAACAATTTGATCGTAATGGTACAGGTTCCTGGAACACTGGTACTAATCCAAAAATAATCTATGTTGGCCTTCCTTGTATATGATTCTTGATCCACAGACACTCAACAATGATCATTCCAGTACGCTGCTTTTTCACCTGATCCTGTTCGTATTATTCTGACTCACAAGTGGAAAGGTTGTTCAAAAATCTATACAATACCTTATTATTAAACATCTATCCCATCTTATTATTGCATTTTTATGCTTTGTAGTGAGAAGGACTTCAACCGAAACAATTGGAGTCAAAAAGTAAACATCCTATTTGTGGCATGAATTCCTGACCTGTGGGATTCATTTGGATTTAAACATTCTAAAGAACGCTACAAGAACGCATTTCAAAAACTATTCATTTGAATCAGAACTGGAACTAAACGTACTTTATTATAAGTTGTGCTTAAATGCCTTCAACCAGTGTAAAGACATGCATCGTTTTGCAAATTTGTGTGAATTGATTTGACCAAGGAATCTTAAGTATGGGGTAATCACTTGCTGTTCTACAGTATTGACTTATCATTTGTTTAGTACAGTAAATACGGTAACATGAATTGTGTTGTGTGAAAGGTGGTGTGTTGGTCCTCACTGTTTATTGTGACCATTCCGCCCTTTCATTCATGAGTGTCATTGTAAAGCTTTAATTCATTGGACCGGTACGTTGGCTACAAACAGTAGTGGATGATTGCATGAAGATCAAATTTCCATTGTACCAGCTCAACCTGAGTTTTGTTTTCATTATGCATATGCAGAGGACAACAGTTTGTATACCATATATGCGTTGTTTGATTTACTATGATCCTTGTAATATCCAAAGCTGAACAATTATTATCCAGGATATTAGTGCACAGTAAACCTTGGTTTGAAGATGGACAACCATAAAATATTAGTACAAAAAAACGATGATGACTCTTTGATGCCGTTGAGCTTGGTATCTAGTATACCAGAACCAAGTGTACCTAGTGTATCTACCATAACTAGCATACCAGGGACAACTATATTAGTACCAAGTAATGGTAGACCACGGTCTCTAGTAACTTCATGTGAAAGTGATGCTTACAAGCTTCAGACTAATTATCATCACCGAGCAAGTACTCCAAATTCAGACGATCAAGAAGATAACATGCTGCAGAAACCAAAAAAGTTGAAATCCAACCAACGTTTCAGCCCCCGTTTCAGCCCAAAACTAAAGAAAAAAGTCACAAAATTCATTAAGAAAGTATCCAAGGGGTATGTTACTTATTTTATTCAGTTTTGTTAATGCTACGACACTCATCAGACTGTTTCCATTGTTACACATACAGTAATGTACAAGAAACATTGTGTACTCCAATCTATATTTCACAGAAAATTCTCGGATTTTGAAATTTTATGTTGGTCTCTAAAGGCCAACTCAGATAGCGTGGTTCAATGTAGCCCTATGAGATCTGTTGTTGCGTCGGGTCTGTGTGAGAGACCATCACATTGTAGAATATTAAACATTTATTTAAACACGTTTAATATTTCTCACGACGGCTAAAGACTGTCCCCGACGATGAACTACAGTCCGTCGGGCTGTGTCCAATGACGCTGTCTGAGTTGGCTTTTAGGCAGGTTCTACAGTAAGGAAAACTAATTGGTGGGTGTGCTTATGCAATAAAAACATAGCAATCGCCTTGTATAAATGTGTATTTAAACATTTTAGTGTTTAGTTCTTTGGAAATTTAAAGTGAAGTAGAACTTTTTTTAACAAGTGGTCATTTTTGACTAAAAATATTTACAAGTCAAAGCAAGCTATTTGTGATTGCAGTTCCCATTATTGTGATCTAAATGCTATTTTTTCTATTCTGAACCATAAAATATTTCTCGATTGACCCTCCATCAGGAGATTGATTCAGGGACACTGACAACTTGAAGACCCCAAAAGTGACCCCTAAGTGACCGCTTGGTTTCAACCACTTGTTAAGGAACTGTTAATGTTTCAGTAGTGTCAACTTAATGTCAGGTTGTACTGTAACTATTAACCTTTGAATGTCAAGATAGATCATAAACCTGAGATGCTTATTTAATATCAAGTTCAAATTTCTTCATGAAATTTTATAGTATTTTACATTTTAACCTATGACCTTTTCAGGAATACAGGAAATGCAAAGCATATGTTTTAGAGTTCAATTCTATTAAGTTCTTAATTTTAAGCCATGGTATACGGATATTAGATTTGTATTGCTAATGGATTACGAAAGAATCCCTTTATATCAAAATGGTATGGTCTTGAGGATGTCAGGTTCTATAGCAATGGTCATAGTCAAGGTCATGCTAACAATCCTGTACCAAGTGGTACACAACCGATCGGTTTCATAATACTCCAGATAGTATAATCTTTTAAGATGTTCTGTTATACCGCCCATGGGGGTATCTTTTCTTCTAAAATCATGCCTGAAAGGTGAGCTATTTCTTATTTCAGGGTCTTTTCTGGTGTAGGCCTCCTGTATTTAGTAATAATATTGAAGGTAGTTAAAACCTACATAGAAAGTTATCACTAGAATAGAAAATCCCTTTAAAACAACTTTTGATTTAATTTCAAATGTGTAATGGAAGTAAACTCAGTTGGTTTTGCATTAATTGGATATTGTACAATACAACATGTGATGGTTTGGTGGTACTTAGTTAGAGTAATTGAGAAATAAATTGTTATAAAAGTAAATTTTAAAAAGTACAAATCCAAATTGGGTCTGATGATACAGATAAACTTTATTTTATCCCTTTCTTCAGAAATTACATGGTCGAAAAGATTTTTCTCGTTCTGAAAGACATGGTACAATGGATGTTTAATTGCTTAATATCAAGATTTTCAACTTCATTAGCCCAAAACATGATAAATTTTGATGTAGCATTATTTGTTTATTTCTTTCAGTAAAAATAGTGAGTTATCTGATATAAATGTTGACGATGGAAGCCAATCTGGTGATGAGAGGTAAGACCACTTATTCAACTTTTTATCTTTCCTAAGCAGTAATACTGTAGTACGTAGAAAGATTAATTTTTAACAAGTTTAACAACAATAGTCTTTGAATAATGAAACATCCTGATTTGGATTATCAATCTATTCCAACAACCATTAAAGCAATTCTGCTTACGGTAAATGCATAGCAGAGAACAGACGAGTTTGCTGTCGCTTAGCAACGAGTAATACGTTGCTATTAGGGCTTGAGCTCACCTTTTAATTTTGTATTAATGTGAAGCTCTGGTGTTACCGTATTGATTACATGGCAGCTTCACCCTTTTCTAATGATTTTAATCTACATTCAATCATTCTTTTCAGTTCATTCTTCATTCATTACATGGATATTCATTCATGTTGCAATTTTTTTACTATTTATTTTTTGCTCCTTCATTAGTTGTCTTTGTTCCTTTTCCATTTCGGCACTGTAATCATGGCTTTCAACCATTCTTGGTCTCCTTCAGTTTTCATTCTCATTTCTTTCCTTTCGGCAGCTTCCCTTCTTCCTCTTCCTCAACATATTCTATGCTCTCCTTCAGGTACAGTAATAGTATTCATTATCTTGTTATCATTTCTTGTTTTGTTTTTCAAAACGTTCATTATACAGTATGTCATTTTCACTGATAGTGATTATAGATTTTCTTTCAAATATTCTTAAATTCACTTTTTTTCAGGTAACAAAATTTATTTTCTTTTTTTAATTTTCAAAGTTATTAATTTAAATTTATTATTAATTGAACTCTAAAAGAAAGAATTATTGTGGGTAGCAAATGCCTACAATATCTTTAACTTTATCTGTAATAAATAAGTTGAATTAAAAATCAAATTTTTGACAAGATTACAAAAGTTAAACGTAAACTATTTAATTGATAAAAATAAAACTGAATGAAATAGGATTTGGTTATAATAATTTGGTATAAAAATATACCTCCATGATTCTACACATGTTTATCATGACCTTTGTCCTCTGGTTGTCTTGCAGTATCAAATCAGACGATAGGAGTGCAAGGTATTGTTTTCATATTTCTCAAATTTTTCATATGTACAGTAGTAATAGAACAGCACATTTTATTATATTATATTTAAATTTTATACAATGGTGTCCGTGTTTCAACAAGGTAATTGGTTGAAAGAGTAGTACAACGTATAGGCGACAATATTCTTCCACTAACTAAATTGTTCATTTGCAACCAAAACGGTTTTACAAGAAAGAACTAAATAAAGAACTTTCGCTACTCTGAGTATAATTATGTATATGAAGAACATGCATCCATTTCAAAATATGTACATTTATTGTGAATGTACATAAAACAACTGAAATAGTTTAAATAAAAATATAAATCCAGGGTATTATGATAAAGTTAAACATTGTACATGTATCATTTCCATCTTAGATCATTTCTCATGTAAGCTATTGTTTATCCCAACTCTAAGCACCAATGTTAAGGAATCGGAGCTTACCTCATGTATCATGCAATCGGCGCCAATCTCAGCTGACAAACCTGCCGAGAACAAAGTAAACACGAAAGTTACGCACGTGGTAAAGTCACGTACAGCAATCGATGTCTTTCTTTCACATTCTTCCCATCATATAAAGAAAGCACGTCGAGCACGTAGCGTTCGCAGTAAACGAACTGCACAAGGAGATCGTCTACGTCGTATTGAGTTGCGAGAAATAAGGTACCCAATGTGTTGGTTGCTATGTCCATGGTGCACTTTGACATATTGCAGCACATAAGATCTATCCTCCGTCGTAGCTGCCTGCTCCCTTTGTTTTAGATTGTAAAAGCTTGTTTTGTAATTGTGCTGTAAAACAAATTGCTATTCTTGTAGTTTTATTTGTTTAATTGTTGTATTCTACAGAAATTAGTTTTACGTAAAAACACAAAAGTATAATTTTTTTTTGTACACAATATAGTTTAAATGGCATGTTTTTGGAGAGGTAGGCTTGGCTGTATATGTAGTGATGATACTGTATCATAGCTTTAAATGTAATCGTATTACGTGCTTAAAAGCACTCTGTCAACAGATGAGAGCAATACTAATTTTCGCAATTTCAGGAAGCTGTCACTTTTGTGTTAAATGTTGTGTTACATTGTTGTGTATACCGTAGTTGCTTTTTGCCATTTGTTAGGTTTCTTGCCTGTTTATGTTATTATATGTATCAGTAAAAATGAGTGTTCATTGATTACAAAAACAGTATTCAAAAATTATGGAAATCCAATCTGTAGCTGCTCAGGGAATATCTATGGTCTTTAGCATTCTGGCCCTGGCTATATTCATGGTCATTTGTTTACCCTGGGAATATTCATATTTTCTGTAGCTTCCCTGGGAACACTGGAGGATTATTTTCTGTTGCCTGGGAATACTATCCATGGTTTGTAATCATCTTGACAATCAACTATGTTAGCTTAGATATCCATGGCCTACTGGTCGCCTGGGAATATGGACTGTTGTCATGGAAGTTTAACATCTATGGACAGAAAATACCCTTGAAATATCCATTTACTGAGATGCCCTAGAAACACCCGTGCTAAGTACAGTAGTTGCCCTGAGACTATCTATGGTTTGTAGTTGCAGTTGGATTATTTCTGGAATGTAGTACCTAATGGTATTCATGGTCTGTAGTTGCCTTACAAATATCTGAAGTTGCCCTAAGAATTTTCGTTATATAGTAGGATGTAATCCATCATAACCACACTGGTAACAGGGAGCTTTTGATTTGCACGACGACGCGATGCTAGAATGGATTCACTCATGCATGACCGTCCTACGTCCTCTGCACAACATAGATTTGGCAAAATTGCAACCTAGAATCCATACGGCCGCAAGAACTCAATGTTCTCATATGCCAGATGACTTTTGTGACGTCAAGAACTCAATGTTCTCATCGATGCCAGATGACTTTTGTGACATCATTACGTTCCATGTCCTACCATCGTCATGCAATTGATAAGCTCCCTAAAGGCCGTATTTTTTAGTGCAAATCAAAAATTTGTACCATACAAATGCGCAATTGAGAATTTAGTGATAATAATAATTAAACTATGTGTGCGTATAGGCAAGGCAATAGCCTTGGTATGGCAAAAAAATTTGATTTGAGCGAATAAATTTGTCTAGTTGAAAACGGCATTAATGTCCATATTCTGGTGGCATATTGCTCTACTGGTGTTGTATGGTAACATGTGCCAGTATACTATACTGAGACTGATGGTTATGTTTTATTAGTTCAGTTTATTGTCTTCACTATTTAATATTGATGTTGATATTTGCGCCAGTTTGTAAAGCCTTAACAAAAAAATCACCCCAGCTTTTTGCTTTTGTAAAGGTACAGACAAATTCAGTTTTTATATACTTTTTGTCCAGAGGCAGAAAACAATGCTTTTATTTTTGTGAATTATCTTCAAGAAGATAATAACAAATGTGATTCTCAGGCCACCTAGAATAAACTAATATGGTATAATAAAAATATATTATATTTAGCTAAGATGTTATAAAAGATGATCACATGGTTGGTAAAAGTCTAAACATTGATACTCATGTTGGACTGATGCAGTAGTGGAGCTTGAGAACAAATTTAAATTAGGAATAAATGTCTGAAAAATGTAGGAATGATGTGTCAATTAACAAGGGGGATTTTTTTAATCTAAATTTATTTAACACATTTAATACTGCTATCATGTTAATTTCATCATTATAGAGCTAAAAAAAACAATCATTCTGCTTTCCTTTGCTAGTACTGTAGTTACTGTAGTTATTATTATACATTAATTTAAGTACAATACATCTAAATAATTAAACAATAATACAACTTTAAAATGTGAATTCTTGGTAATAATTTTAATATTCCACTTGTTTCAATCTTACAGCAGCAGTCAAAATGGAATGGCATCATCACAATCAGTTCCGGAATACCTAGCAACTGACGACAATGTTGTCAGAAAGCGTTCACCTAAACTCGGCAAGAATAAAAAAGGTGTTCGCAGATCAGCTCCATGGTATAGTGTAAGTATTTTTGCGTTAACTGTACTCGATTAAAAATATACTTTGTATGTGTATTGGGTGACCGCCAGCATAGCTACAGTATTCAATTTAAATATTAGTAATAGTATAATAATGAAAGAGAACTTGCTGGGGGAATGAGGTGAATAGGTAACTGAATTTTTTTTTTTTTTTTTTTTTTTGCTTCAGCATGTTTTCTGTGGGAAGAGTCATGAGGCATAAATTTTTTCTTCCCCTCTCCCATGCCCTTCTTATAGATACACTATAGCTAATGTATGATATATACCCACCCTAAGAAGAAATATAAGACCATTACCATTTATCATTTGTTTTGGTTTTATTGAATGTACACTATTCATTACTTGATGATGTTTACTTTATTGATTACCCATAATTCTCAGGTTCTTCAGTCTAATTACAAATCTAGATGTGAAGAATTTCTGAAACTTTTTAAGGGAATTCCAGAGACAGAGCGGTTAACAGTAGGTCAGTACATGCTCCACTTGCATCACTATGTACTAGCATTTCTCTTCATCTTTTTAAATTCTACATTCAGATCTCATCTTTGTTCTTCATGCTTTATTATATTTCTTTTGATTCCAAAAATTCTTGTTAGTTTTCTGCTATTAATTCCTTCTTAATTATTGTATTTCTTCTAATTCATCGTCTCATTATTTAATGTGTAATCCCTTTTTCTCTTTATCTTTTAACCTCCAGATAACTGGCCTGGTGCCATAACCACTAGACCACCGAGCTTCTGCTTACTGGCTAGTGTTGAGTCTCAATTAAAAGTAAAACTCCCATAATAAATTAACATTTCTAAAGTATCCAACCACCACAATATATAATATTAATAATGAGCAGTAATAGGATACAGCTGGCAGAATATATATAATCATATTCACAATATCTAGAGAAAACATCTTTGTTCAAATTTCTGATAGTTATCGACCAGTCACCAGGATTTCCTTTAGAAACTGAAAGCATTGATTGCTGGCAATCTTTGCCTGAATTAAGAGTACCTGTACAGCTCACAAAATTAGATGTCCATACATTATTAATTTATCATTGTAGTTTTATCATTATTCTTATGTGTTTGACTTGCAGATTATTCATGTGCAATACAAAAAGAGATATTAGTTCACGGAAGGATGTATGTTACACAGAATTACCTCTGCTTTTATGCCAACATATTCAAGTGGGAGACAACAGTGAGTACTTCCACAGCAATAACACACATTTAAGTTTTTGTAACCTTAGCGTCCGTATGTATTACATGTCTGTGTCCAAATACTGTGCTCTGCAGATGTGCGCCAGGATATAATTCCAGCTGCATGCTACATTGCAGAAAATCATAGAACATGCAGAGAAATATGCGGGCTAACAATATTATGACATAACATGTGTGACAACACTGGTGCTTTAAGGTCATGAAGACAACTTAATTGCACGACTGTGATGCAAGACAGTATGCGAGGCAATGATAATGCCATTATAGTGTGTAACTATAAATTGAAGTAATGATGTTAGTAAATGATGTCATTATGTGACTACTAATAAGCAAAAGGTGACTCCATACCTTTATTCATAACATGAGGATCATTATGTGTATGATATTGTAAATGTAAGATGAAAATAAACTTGATGTAAGATGCAGCATGAAGGTTCAATCAATTATGATTTTATGATATATATATATATTAATAATGATAATTATAATGATAAAATTATCATAATGACTAATTATAATTACAATAATTCCAGCAATTATTAACTTATGAAAAAATGACCATATAATTTTGATAAGAATAATTTATAATATTCAAAAAAAATTCAAAGGATTTAATTATAATAATGGTGAAAATGTAAATGTATTGATAATTTTTATTTTATGATTCATGAAAAAACAAGACAAAATATAAAACAAAATACAGAGCAAAAGAGATTACCTGTCCTAATTCAGAGTATGCTAAATATCTAAGCAGAATTATAATTCAGGAGCAAGCTAGTGATAATTCATGATAATAATTGTACTAATAATATTAATAATTATAAAACTTAAGTTAATAATAATAATACATTTTATTTTTAAGTTGCTTGAACACTGATGTGTCAATGACCTTTTATGATTAACTGTCCCCTTTTCTTCCTTTTTTACTCCAGCTTACTATCAAATTAAACGACATCACGGCAGTCACTAAAGAACGGACAGTGCGGTTTATACCAAATGCTTTACAAGTCACTACAGCTTCAGAGAAGGTAATTTAACTTCTTTTTTTTTATATTTACCTGGATATTAAACCAACAAGTGCCAAAAGTTCTCCCAGTTTGAATACTGCTAAAAATAGTAGAATGATCCAGAACACTTCAAACCTGATTACATTTTTTTTTCAAGAGGGACTTGGTAAAGAATTTTTTAAATATTTGAGAAAATGATTTATCTTGTGAAACCAAAAATTCAAATTATATTAGTTTTGTTTGTCTATTTCTTTATTGAACTTTGATTTGATATAAATGTTTCTCTTTCATAATTCTATTTGAACAGTACTTTTTTACATCATTTGGATCAAGAGACAAGTCGTTCATGACACTCTTTAAACTCTGGCAGAATTCACTCATGGATTTGGTGAGTACACTCATCTTGAGTACAACAAGCTTGAAAAGCAACTGTATCGAAATTATGTTAGTACAATGCGTTGTTAATGCTATCTGTTCATGTTTAAAATACTTGGGTCGTTTTATATCAATAAGTTTGACAATTTTCTCCCAGAAAATGCCACCAACAGAATTCTGGAAGTGGATTCACAATAATTATGGAGATGATCTTGGATTCCCTGAGGATGAGCTTCCTGAGGACTATGTGTTCCCTAGTAAAGATGCAGATGACAGCGGAGATGATAAGTCTAGAGGTCGGGTGTCAGAAGGCCAGGGTAGCGATGGTGATGACCTCAGTTTATCAGAGTCAAGAGTTAGTACATTACTGTCTGTTCTGTCTTGTGATTACCATCTGTGCCAAGTCTTAACCACTCAAGGAAGATTGTAACTGCCTTCCTAATATCTTAATAATTTAATCTAAGTCTTTGGTTATAAATCAATATCTTGGCCTTGGTCATCCTCTAGGATCTTACTGGAGTAACGTTTCTACCCCAAAATGCATAGTTCCTTTAGGCTTATGATTTTTTTTTGTACAGTCATTTTTGTATTTTGTATATACAGTATGTTGTTTTGGCAGATATTAGCTTTTGCAGCAATAAAATATTAAATTAAATATGATAATATTTGTATTAATATCAATTTTAGGAGGAACTGTTGATAAAGGATGATGACTTTGATACAGAAGCTACCACCAAATCCTCTTTGCTCAATAAACTTGCACCTCCACAAATTGATGTGTCCGACTATTCAGAAACTGAAGGTATTGTAGAATTGTTTACTTAAGATTAAACTAAAAAAAAAGAAGATTATTATTCAGTAAGTTACCTTGACCTTGTTTTGGCTGGAGCTCCTATTTGTCATATTTTTCATTTGATTTTTCCTGAGCTTGGTTCTATTACTTTTGCTCTTCAAATCTGGCCAGTTGATTGTTATCTTGATAGCTGATTGCTATATCATTTTTTTATTGCCTTCATAAAAACAATTCTAATGTTACTGCTATTTAACACTCTGCCCGCCAAACACGGAGATCTCTGTGTTTGGTGCCCACCAGACACTGAGATCTCCGTTTTTGGTAATGCAACGCTTGACCGCCAAACACGGAGATCTGTGTTTTAGGGGTTTTTTTACGGAACCCGATAGATGGGGTAATTACCGACGTGTACTAACAATTTGAACACTATATTCAGTCTGGACCATAAGTATTTCACTGTTTGAAAGTATCCAATCTGATTAAAAAAAGAAAGATTGAATTCACTCCACACTCAGCTCTGATGGGGAGCCGTATGAGTGCCACTGAGGCAGTCGCTGAAATTTGTGCTGATACATACTCAGAGAATGACTTTCTGATACAAACACTTTATAAGATTATATATATATTTAGTTGATTGGTGTCTGTTTAGTGTGCTTAATCCCATATCATAAATGCCTTGTTTGTGGTGACTGAATTGAAAAAAAAAACATTATTAAATTGAAACTTAAGCAGAGAAGCCAGTCTCACCACCAAAAATAAGAGGCTTGTTGGCACATAGCTTGATTGTACTTAGTAATACTTATACTTGATTAGCCTATCCTACCAAAAACATGATTTTTTCAATGCAGTTTTGTTTTAATGTGTGTGTCTATGTCTATCTTTGTAATTAAAGTATTCTAATTTTACATATTGTTGAATTTTGTATTTGTCAATACATATTTATTTCCAATTTCTAATCAAAATACAAATGATTAATAAAAATAAAAGAGTTTAGTTGTTATCATATATCTTTTATGTATCTTTTAGAGGAAGTATTTTGCAGTTGTATTTTTCATTACATATTTTATTTCCAATTTCTAATCAAATTACAGTACAAATGTTTAATAAAAATAAAAGAGTTTAGTTGTTATCATATATCTTTTTATGTATCTTTTAGAGGAAGTATTTTGCAGTTGCAAAGACCAACATCAAGGAAAGCAATATTTAAATGAAGTTTATGACATTTCTTGTGATAAACTATTTAATCTTCTGTTTGCTGATGGCTCCAAGTTCTATTTAGATTATGTTAAAGCTAGAAAAAGTACAGGTAAGTTTCACTAATGATTAATAAAAAAAAATATTCTAACTTTAACAAAGTGTAATTTTACTCAATGACAAATGACAACAGAAATGCCTTTAGAAATTGGTGTAGACACAGTTTAGACAAAAAAAAAAAAAATTCTGACCTCTCAGATCTTTGTAAAATGCAGCCTATGTCTAAATAATGATAATATTTAAGTATTGTTATAGGTTTTTATTTGCCATTATTATTTCCTTTTCTGTTTTAGATATTAACATTGGGAAATGGGTGACGGAGGAGGAGAGTCCTCAAGAGACAAGAGTAATAACATACACTTTCCCCATCAATAGCAATATTGGACCCAAATCAAGTCAAGTGACAGAAACACAAGTAAGTAAATAATTTTAAGTCATATATTTCATGTTTTATTGTTTTATTATTATTATTTTTTGTTACAATATGCAGGCCCGTAGCCAGTGGGGGATTCTATGGTTCGGGCGAACCTCCCTTTTCTAGCAAACCCCCCTGTTTTCTAGCGAACCCCCTCAAATTTTTTAATGAGTCCCACTCGGACGGAATGTCTGTTTTTAACTTACCCAACATTAAATCAAAATGTAGCACCTAATTCATTATTTGGTCACCCGTTTTTAAATTGTAGCCTGCGATACAAGCCTACATTCATAGAATATCTCAGCTTCAGAAGTTCGGAGATTTAAATTGAACGTAAGTCCAGCAAACCATGACTTTACGATAGCTCACATAAGGATGGCAAACATAGATAAAAACTTTCACTGGCCTTTGGCTGAATGCTTGTAAGAAATGTACCAACCGGTAACAAAACCGGTCTCCGTCTACCTAGAGTAAATGGCGCTACCAAACGAAGATAAAGTTTTGCGACTTAATCCACCAAATGCAGCTAAAGTTTTGCGACTTAATTATTGTGGATTGTGTGGTTAGTAAATTCCATAGCCATACTGTCCATAGCGCACACCAAACTATTTGCTGATGGAGCATTGTTGAGAAATTGACTCTACTTTTTTCCATCCCAAACAACATATTATTAATAAATCAACATGGTCCATCTCAGTCATCATAGCGAGTCACAAAATTAGGAAGTTTGTTTTCAACAGCAGACACAGAAGTTTGTTTTCAACAGCAACACACACAACAGAACGGAGTGCGTCAAAATCTAAAAAATACGTACTGGCATTTTGTAATACACATTCCCTTGTTGTACAGTATGACATGTTTCATTAACATAACATACACTGAGGATTGCCAACGAATTGGGTGGGTATTCAAACTTTTACGATATGGTGAAGTATTTCGATTAAAATGTTAAAGTGATTATATAAGAATTAGATGAGTCACTGTCAATTAAACAATTCGCGGAAGAGGTGTATTCAAAATATCGGTACTGTTAATATGGGACTAATCAGATGACTGACGCCGTTCTCCATCGACAATTGATTTTGTGTGCATTATTTATCTACAATTCTTATCTACAGTATATACACTAGAAAATATTTACACTCACAATTTTAAA